TAAGAAATCCAGCCAAAAAAATTGGTGTCAGAGGCACAGAGCTGGAGCTGAGCAGAGAGAGGGATGGATGAGGGGCACATTGTGCTCCAAGGAGCAGGAGGTGGCGGAGGAAATGACGGGGCTGGGGGCACGTGTGTTTGGGGAAGCGTGTCTGACTGCATCTCCATCCTTGGAAAAGGCAGGGAGAGAGAGAGAGAGAGAGAGACAGAGGGAGAGATGCTGAGCATCCTTCTTAAACCTCTGCTGTTGTCCTTGCCACAGCCCCAACGTGGGAGGGGAAAGCACGGAAAAAAATCTCATTTCCCGTGTGTTCACAGTGCCCCCMTTGCCTTCTCACCAGCTCTCATCTTCCCTTTCATCCCATCCCTTCACCCCTTCCTTGTCTCTCTCCTGCTGAATGAAGCTATTTAGTGTTGTACCCTCCTTTGCAGAAGCTGTTTCATCCCTGCTCGCACAGTTTTTAAAACTGCGTCCTCCACCCACCCTCAGTCTTGGTTTTTCATCAGTGCCCCCTCTTTAGGTTAAATATCTGTACGAAAGGAAAAAGCAGAGGAATCCAGTGACACCCTGATTTGATTACCATTTCTCCATTCTTTCCTCTTATCTTTTGTCTCCTCTTAATTTCATTATTAGCACTGCTATTATTATCATTATTACAGCACTAGGAATGAACTTCCTCATTAAAAACTCCCTTTTTGCCATTCTGAATACCACTGTGGAAGCTGGAGAGGGGAGCAAGGGGAGGGAGTCTCAGAGAGTCCTTTTGCTGTTAATGCAGAATGAGACACACAAGGAACAAATTTAGTCCATCTCAAAAGCAAATGAGGGTTGGTTTGTTTGGGGTTATTTATCAGAACTGAAGAAAACGATCAAATTGACTCATTTCAACTATCTCTGGATGCCTTAGCCATAAAAACATGCAGAATATATTAAAGCATACAAAAATATCCTCAAAAATGGTCTCTCTGTGGCACAGGTATGCAGGGAGTGGTGTCAGCCTGGGACAGAGCATCCTTGCTGTGACCACAAGGAATGGGTCATCCCCTGGCCTCACCCCCTGCAGCACCCAGACAGCCTGGCAAAGGAGGGAATTGGCAGCTTTAACACAGAATTTCTTTGTATTTTATATTTTCAGGCCAGAAACAGAATGTGGTACATTAGCATTGATTCTGCGCTTTCATATTTTTTTTAAGTAGTACAGAAAAGAAGGAGGGGAAAAAAAAAGCAGAAAGGAAAATAAATCATCCCTTATATACATTCAAAGCATACACAGCAACAGTTCCTTCAGCACTGGGTGCACTGTGAGTGGGTATTGATGTCAGCAGCAAGGGAATGCATATTAGAGATCTGTAACACTGGTTCTGCTAAGCAGCTCCAGAAAAGGGAGTGCTTTTGCATGCTTTTCACCCTGTCTTGTGTGCAAAAAGCCAGTTAAATATAAACAAAGTAATGTTAATTACCTAATTGTAAAAGGGAGGTTAGTCCTATTAMGAGAAACATGAAAAAGGGCATGTTTAAAATATTTTCCTTCCTTTAATATTCCCCAAGCATTTCATGGACAAAACACTGTTCACAACTAACCCCAAAAGCATTTTTTTTTTCTTTTTTTCTTCCTTTTTGATTTTGGAGCCATTTAATAAGGCAGAATAAGGGCATCAAAAGAGAGGAAATAATTTATCTCTGGGCAGTTGTTGAACACGAAATGTGAAAGAAAGAATTAGGGAAAATTTGTCCCTGCAGTTGCTCYAAATGCAGTACAAATGTAATAACTCTCATATACACCAATGCAAGTAGCCTGGAGCAGGATGAATAACTGGATTTGCAATAGCTGGATTGAAATGACATACAGGCTCTTTTATTTCTTTATTACCCACATATATTTCATGTAAACTTTCAGCCTGGATGTGGGCACCCCGTGGAGTGCCTTCATTCCATGTAACAGCAGTTGACACCCTCTTTTCTCCAATAAATATTCAGAGGGTGTCAAGATCTCCAGAAATCCTTTGGGCATCACCAGGGGGTTGTCTCTAGAAGGGATTACCCTTAGAAAAGCTTTCTGCATGAGGGTTTTGAAATAGATCCTTTTATAAGTGCTGTTCTCTCTGTGGAGAGATCCATCCATCATCCTGCTCAGGGTGGCGAGTCATTGGTGGCCATCACCTCTCTCCAGGAGAAGTGGCAGCCCCAAAAATCAGCTCTCACTCAAGAAATCATTCCACCTTCAAAGAAAAACGCTCTGCTCAGTTCACTTGGCCAGGTTCATGGAGCACAGGGGTGAATAAATCCCACAGGCAGARCTCCTCACGTCTTTGCAAAGGCTGCCAGCACCAAGAGGCAGCAGGGATAACTCCGGAGGGGTGCGATCACTCGCGTGTTTCAAACACAACCCACAAATACGCTAAAAATACACGGCAATACAACCACGGGATGATTGTTTGTTGGGATCAGGCTTGTCTCGGGTTTACAGGGGCAAAAGCACGACTGCACCGACACGTTTCCTTACAGCAGCAGGGGGGATTTATAGAAATCGAGGCAGTTCATGTCTCATTTCACCATATGCAGACAGTATTTTAAGAAGCTTGGTTGGTTTTGGGAGCTTCCTGGCAGGTGGCTGTAACCAGCTCTGCTGGCTGGGGCTTTGGGGAGCATATTGCCCAGTCCAAAGTTAAGAGAGCCAATTTTTCACAGTTAAATTCACTATTGATTTCAGAGAAAGGTTTAATGGGGAAAATGAATATAGGCTGGCCCTCAGCTAGCACAGCATAAAGTACTTTTGCTTCAAACATGGTCAGGAACCCAAAGAGAAAAGGGGATCTGTACCTTCCTTCTCCCATCCCAGACAGATTTGTACATGGATACTCAGCCCCTCAGGTCACTTGGGAGTTTCAGGATGGATCAGGCCCTTGTGGGCTTGAGGCACAGAGAGAAAAATGTGCATTTGTTTAAAGAGAAAAAAGCCTGGCTTTAACAGTGCTTGCTTGTTTGAAAGCTGGGGGTGAATTTGCAGTGGCTTTAGGAAAAAAAAAGCAGTTGGTTTTCATTAAATTTTCTGTGAAACTTTCCTCTCCCAGTGCATAATCTCATYGCTTTAACAGATGACATTATAGTCTCACTGAGTAAAATTTTTGATTAAGAGGCTATTTCCATATTTAATAGCACGGAGAATGAGACGCAAGTTCTTACTCCTTAAAAATACTGTCAGTCAGGAAAAAAAAAATGCAAAAGTCACTGTTTGCATTTAAAATTGATGGCTAAAACCTGCTGCACAAGAAAACAAATTATTTCTTCTGTGCCTGTTTTCTCCTTTATAAGCCTGATATACCCTTGTAAGAGTAGCTAGCACTTCCATGCTATAAAAAAAAGGAAAAAAAAAAGCCCTGTGTTACATTCGAATGCATGTAAGATTTTGGAATTGTTCCTCTCTTGGTGGTAACCTGAGGATAGAGAAGCATGTACAAAAAACATAGAAATGTCACCCATTCATAATCCATAACATTTTATTCACATGTAATGCTGTGGGAAGAAAATCTCAAGATGCTCTGCCTGATGTTATAAAACTCCCTCAATCGTCAATTAGTGTGGAGAGGAGCTGGTGAAAAGATCAATCGGTTGGTTGTTCCCATTCTGGAATGAAAAATCCAAAATACCAGGAAAGGAAGCCTTTATTTAAGGGCAGTCAGATAAAACAGCTGTGTGATTCTACATCATGAAATCACTGCTTATATCCATCAATGCCATTTTCCAGTCCTCTGCAAGGAGGGTTCATCTGCCTCCAGCCCCTGCAGAGGTTTTGGGGTTGTTTGTTAGTGAAGGCTGGTGGTGAAAGGGTGGGAGATGAGCTGAGCTTTGCCAGCATTTTGCTACAGGACCCACAGAGGCTCTGAAAACTCTGTCTCACCCTGACAGTGGCTTTGCTCTTCACTTTCACCACTGAGACCCAAATAATTGCTTTTGCTCTTTTCCCTTCACCGTGGCACCACAGGGCACAAAACAAGGGGATCTTTGCTCTTGGCATAGCTCAAAGCAAGCATAGAAGTGGGAAATTCAAGTAAAAGCCCTTAAATTTAACACTTTTTTTTTTTGGTCTTTTTATATAAAAGAAAATTCTGATGAGCATATTTTGGCAGTGCTTCACTTGTTTGGATTTTGTTGGTGGTATTAGTTGTTCTTTGCAATATGATCAATTTTGATACAAAACACTTTCAGGGGTTATAATGCAGTTTTTATGGATCTTACAGCAACTACCCAGTGAGCTGCACCTAAAAATCCCCATCAATCCTGTCCTAGGAACACGATCAAAACTTCAGCCTGTCTGAGGTGCACTGGCTCCTTGCTGTTCTGATGTCCAGTTACAGGTAGCACATTAACAAAAATAAAAATCCAGTGTCATGCTTCACATCTTCAGCAACACGATGGATGTGAATGTGTGCTAATTACAATGGGAAGCCATCTGGGTAATTTTAAGCTTTTTTTATTTTACGTGGCTTCTTTTACTCCTCGACTTTTCATTTCAACACTCAGCATGAAGAGAGGTTAAACTGTTGCATTCTGTATAGGGGGGACCACTCAYGTAATATACACCAGTCTGTAAAAACTGTAAATGCTATTTTTTTTTTTTTATTTTAAACAGTTTCCTTAGTTTACAAAAGATCGATAATTGGTACCTTTTTACACTCTCAGATTCCTGAATATTGACAGATCTTCAAAGGGAGTATTAGCATATGAAACCTTAAGATTGGCTGTCCTGAAGGTTTTTTTAAGACACGATAAAGCTAAAATATCAAGTCTCTCGGACAGCCCCTCTTAAACAATTTGGGCAGAGGTGCACGTCAGAAACCACCAGCAAAGCCCAGCAAACCCCCCCCACCCCGTGCCACTGTCTGCCTGCACGCTGTTATTTGGTTGCACACTGTTTAAATCCCAAAGGAAAATCACACCTCGCATTCCCTCGCTGGCTGCTGGTGACAGGAACAAGATCCGTACTCATTAATGATCACCAGGGCTCCCTCAATGTGGTTGGGTTTGTAATCAACATAATACTCCTGGGCTGACATGGCAGCCATTTGGTGCATGGTCTGTTTTTGCTTCTGCTTCCTGCGCTGTGTGACAAAGCACTGTCTTAGTTGCCTTAAACCGGCTGGGAAGCACTTCCAGGAGACGTACAACACCAAAACCACGATGAGGAAGGAAAAAATCAGCGCCATGGTGCCCGTCACCACCTTGTGAATCTGCACGGCGTTCTCCGAGTTCTCGCCGGGCATGGTGATGGTGACGGAGTACGTGGTCCKGTCCTCGTCGCCGTCGGGCGCGTCGTAGGTGGCGGTGGCCGAGCCRTAGCCCAGCGTCTGCTCGCTGTTGTTGGTGACCGGCGAGAAGGTGTTGACGCTCGTAGGGTCRGCATCATCCTCGCACAAGTGAAAGGCGTAGACAGCATCCAAAACATCCTCGCCCTGGGCGTACTCGGGCGTGGCACAGAGCAGGTTGCTGTCATAGCGACCCTGGAAGTTGCTCAGCCAGGAGGCCAGGGCGCAGACGTTGCGGCTGCAGTCCCAGGCGTTGGCGGAAAGGCTGATGCTCGTGAGGGACTTCCAAGAGTCGAGGACTCGGGAGTCGATGTAGGTCAGCCGGTTGGAGTCCAGCTGCAGGGATTTGAGATGAGGTACACTTTCGAAAACGTGAGGTTCGATGTATTCGATTTCGTTGCCGGAGAGATCCATCTTTTCGAGTTGCCATATCCAGTCCAAAGTGTTTACTACGATGGTAACTTTATTCCTTCGCAGGCAGAGGGAGTGCAGGGAGATGAGCCTGGGAAAATGGGCTAAATTCACTTTCACCAAGTCATTGTGCTCGAGGTGCAGCTCGGTGAGTTTGAACAAGCCTGCAAAAGAGTTTCGAGCCAGGCTCTTTAACTGATTGTATCCTATGTCTAGAAACTTCAGGCTGCGACAGTCCTGAAAAATTCTCACCGGCACGAACTTGATGGCGTTCGACCGCATGTGCAAAGTTGTCAGTTTTCTCAGCCCGTGGAACAGGTCGGGCTCCAAAGACTGTAGGTTGTTGTACGATAAATCCACACTGCGCAAGTTTGGCATGGGGCGGAAAGTGGTGTTGGGCAGTTGGGTTATTTTGTTGGAACTCAGGGTGAGCTCCTTAACTCGCCGCAATTTTTGAAAGGCATTCCCCTCCACTGAGCAAATGTGATTGTGATCCAGATAGAGCCACGTGAGCTGCATTAACCCTGTGAACTGTCCATCATGCAGCTCTGAAAGGCTGTTGTACCGCAGAGACAAGCCCATCATGCCCGACAGGTTGCGAGGCATCTCTGTGAGATTCAGTGATTCACAGTACAAAAGCCTGCCCTCACACCGACAGAGCTGTGGACACCCACTATTCACAGCTGGAAGCATTTTAGAAAAGATACCCAGCGTACACAATATCAACCCCGGGGGCTTCCTCAGCAGCCAGTTTAAACAGAGCCCGATAAGAAGGAAATCCATTAGCAAGAATATTTCCAAATATGCTTGAGAATGTCCATTGAATCTTTTCAAATTCTACATCATATTTTATTAAAGGGAAAAAAAAAAAAAATAAAAAGGCAAACCAACGAAACAAAGCCCGAAAACCAAAGCAAAACAGCAAACAGAACAAACACAGAGGCAAATATTTCACTTTACAGCATGCAGGAGCTGTGCAGCATTAAAGTTCACAGACATTCAAAGGTAAAATGATAGTGATTTTGTTCATGTTAAATGCTGCAGCAAAGGAAAAAAAAAAAAATCTTTCTTCATGAAAGAATTTAATTAAAAAGTGTCTTACCCACCCTTTTCCAGAGAGTGACAACCTCCATTCAGTTGCTTCCTTTGTGTTTGGACTAATTATATGCAGAGCTAAAAAAGACCCCTCTGTGCTACAAATTCGGTCCCTTTCAATGTTGTGCAAGGCTGGCAAGCTCACAATGTCTCACTTCGCTTCTGCTCAACGAGCGAAAGGCTTGTCCAGCTAGCTTTTGAGCTGCCTCTTAGGACCTGCAAGTTTCAGAACTATGTACATGAGCTTGATCTTCTCCTTCTCCCTCTGTCCTTTCCTCTGCAGTTAACACTGTGGCGTGAAAAAAACTCCAAACTCTTTACTAACGACTCCACAGGAYTTGTCAATCTGTTTAACGTCCATCATTTGCAACGACCATGGACCGGCACCACCTTTACTCCAGAGAGAGGTTACCATTCATTCACTGACCGGCTAAGGGTCGCTTTATTTCCCATTCTTTGTTCGCTTTGCTTGTTAGGTGATGCTTAGAGCAGAGAGAGACAGCGAGAATCCCTTCCCTTCAGCTGAGCAGTATGTTGCTAGAGCATGCAGAGGCACCCAGTGTTCACTGAGTGTCGTAAGCTGCTCATGATTGTACGCCTGCACTGTGCATCTCAGACATGGGCAGATTGAAAAGGGGTGGGCATAAAACCAACATCGGAGCGAACCAGCAAAGTAATATATGCTCTTTGATGAAATGGAAAATACTTTAAGCCTATCTCGCCATTTCTCAAACAGGCACGCACACACAGCCGCACAAATCATCAAAAGCGAGGCAGTGCTAAGTAGGAAGCTTGAGAATTAGGATTCTTTTGCTGATTTTTTTTTTTTTTTTTTCTTGGATGCTTTTGTTTAAAGTCTGAATTTATAAGCTATTAGCCGGGAGAGGGAGAGACTCGATTACTTGGTTTGGGAAGAAATATGTAAACCAGTCTCTTTGGATTGCTTTTTCTCTCTAATTCCGATGATGAGATTTGCCTTTTGGAGCTTTGGGGTGGGGGATTGAGGGCTGTGTGGGGGGGAAATGTGTTTTTTTTTTCTTCTGACATTGTCTAAATAGAGCATGATTTGAAATTCTGTGCATTCTTTCTCATAGAAATGCAGCCAGAGCTCTGYAAATAGGAATGTCTCGTTTCATATAAGCTTTAATTACATTTGGTCTTTTTCCATCCTGCATATTTTGTGTGTTCAGCACATGCCTTTCCTAAAGGCTTTTTTTTTTTTTTTCCTTTTTCTTTGCGGTGTGTGCTACGGCACACAAAACTCGAATTCTAGCAGCATAAAGATTACTGTGCTTTTTGAATAAGATCAATGCATAGGTTGCTGTGACCGTGTCGGCAGCATGCAAAGAAGGGGGTTTCAAACCCCATTAGTTAATAAGTTTTGCAGATCGTGCTGGTTTTTGTTCCGTGCACCAAAAAAAAAAAAACAAAAACCAACCCAATCTTTGCTGGGTGATTTGCAGTCCTCGTTCTCTGTGGGAAACGCGTCGTCAATGATCTCTGTAATTTTTACTGACTGAAAAATAGACGGTACTTCTGTCAGGAAAACGCTGGCCATCTTTTCCTATTATGAAATAGAGTCTCAAGCCCGTGTGCTGGTGAGAGTGATCGGAGCTGACAGCTCCCAATTCTGCATCAATTCCCTACGAAGAAGTTCCACAAGGAAATACAAGGATTGCAGAAGACTCTGCTGATTTTAAGTGGACATCGGATGCAAAATGCTGGAGGGACAGGGCAGAAYCGTTGCATTTGCTTTTCTTTTTCACAGCTGTGTTAATTTAAAAGAAATATCTGGTTTTGGAGGTGTCTGTTGCAGAGCTGATGGCTGTGTTTGAGTGTGGCTGCTGTGAGTGTGTGCTGGGGGAGACCAAGGAATGCAGTAATTTGATGCAGTAAAAGTTGCTTTGCAGAAGTCCTGGCAAACTTAAAGCTCTCGTGCATAAAAATAAAAATGTGTGAAGGAGATTCATTACTAATGTATTTGCCAGAAACAGTCTTAAATAAATTACAAATATAAACCACTTAAATTGCTGTTTCGGAACCTGGGGATCAATGTGCTTTTATGCTTCCTGTTCAGTTTATTTACATTTTTCTGCTCTTCACAGCATTTCAGTGGTCTCAAAGCAAAAATGTGATGCTTTAATAGTATATGAACCTCATCTATGTTTCAGTATTTGGGCAGGAGAGCTGAGGGTGGTTTTCCTCTCCCTAGATCAGGCTGTTTTATTCAAAGCAGGCTGTTTATGCAAGTGTCCACTGGTTGCAGTACACCTTAATTCTGTTTCTCAGTACACAAAAGCAGGAAGGAAAGCAGTGACAGAAGCGACAGAAAGAGCATTGAAGCAGGAGAGACTAAAAAAACCTCAGCCAAGAATATATGCCGGATTGCCGAGATGAATATTTTGGTGCAATTAGCAGGGGGAAAGAAATTAAAGATTACTTGAACTTAACAGATACTGAAAAAAGCTTCAAAGCCAATGAGATCGTGTCCCTTAAAAATCTGCAACCCTGCAAGTCTTCATGGGGGAAGACTTAATGCCTTCTCCCATGTAAAAAAAAAAATTGGGGAGAGGTCTGCAAAAGAGTAGCCCTGAAAATTTCAATTATATCTTCAAGGAAAGCTGCCATTTTCTGCAAATCAGATGATGATAATGATCACTTAGTTACCATTTAAATGTTATGCATAAAGATTCCTCTAGTAGAGATGAAACTCCCTGATACATCACTGAAAAGCTGATTTTTTTATTATTATTTTTTTTTTCACTGTCTCTCCTTGTTATCACCTGGGATACATCTTGGATCCTTACCAATGTGCCTATTCCCACCCTGGCATATAATCCATTATTATTTGGTTTTCAAAGGCAGAAATTAGAGCAGACAGTAGCAAACCTGTGTTAGCAGCAGCTGGAAGACTGACAGCCAGAATTAGGGACCCAGAATTAATGGCCCTGAGTGCACTTTCTTAAAGCTCTGACAGAGAACTATTGAATGAGGAACTCTTTCTCTTGTCCAAAATTTGGTTGTGGAAAAGAATCCAGGTAGTCTTAAAATGAGAGACCTCARTGTATGTTCGAGGCTGTGATGATGAGGCACCTTAGTGACCAAATTCAAGAACTGGGACATCTGAACCATCTTTTGTAAATTGGTGTCCTGCTCTATTTTTATAATGCACCGTTTTTGCAATGAAACCAGAAATCCACTTTGAACATGGCTGTAATGCAAAGGGTTTAATTTCCACTGTCTGAGCTGTTATCACAGCCAAACTGTTAAGTTTACACATTTTCTGAAGTTTCAAAGCCTCTGGCAAGTCTCTATAAATTAGCAGATTTAAATTAGCTTTATTAAATGTGCTATTATAAAACATTTTAAGAATGGCAAACTGAGTTTGTATGTGTTTAAAGGAGCTTGATTAGATCAATGGAAAGTAGGTTACAGAAGARCAACATGAATAAAGTTTTAGAAAGTTTAGTTGGGAAGCTGCTTCTTGTAGTCATGGCAAATGACATTTGGTCAGAATTGTTCTGGTTGAAAAACACGTTTCAATGTGTTTGGTCTACACATTTTTAATATTGTATTCAGATGAATCATGGAATCAAGAAGATTGGGAAGGATCTCTAAGAWCATCCAGTCCAACCAYTGGGTRTCCCATATAATTGAACTGACCTTGGAATAATTTCATTCCTGCTGCTCCCATGTTGTATGTTCCATTACTGTTTGTGCCTGCTTGTTTACCATGCTTTAATTTTCAGTCCGTCACAGACAGGGTTGGGACAGAGAGTATGAGATCAGAATGTGGCCACTGATGCCTAACTCTTCATAGACACATATTTYAATAAATTCACCAACAAAACACAAAAAAGGCAAAACAACATATTAAATACTGAAAATGCTTCTTCCTTTTGGCATTTTCTGAGTGGTTTATATCGGAATAATAAAAAGTGGGKCTCTTGCTGGTTATTTTAATTTCCTTTCATGACTGGAAAGACTCAAACCTTGATCTTTGGTAGTCTTTAATTTTCAAGAGCACTGAACCATGGCATTTTGTATGAAGGAAACATTTAAAAACAGAAAAGGGGAAAAAAAGATGTGAATTTAAAACAGACTAGATTTGTTATTTCTCTTGTATTTCTCTTTTGGTCATCTTGAATATTTGTTGGCTGTCCCTTTCTGTATAAAATTTAGGATTTCACCTGTTAAGAAGTCCAATCTTATATAGCATAAATGTTTTAGTAGATATAAAAATGCATTGTATTATGCAAGATTTTGACCAAAACAYTCTTGTTGACTCAGATGTCATTCAATTCTTATAGTCCCTGACAAACATTGGATTTGTGGCTACCTTTAAATCACAGATATTCTTATGTAAATGACCTTGTTGTTTTTGACAAGGTGATAAATATTTTTCTGTTCCATTGCAGTCATTCCATCCTCGTCATCCACAATCACTCGCAGGGGGTTGTGCATAGCTCTAGAAAGTCACTCACAGAAGAGACTCTTGCAGAATTGTCCATGATATGCAGAAATGTCAATTTTTAGGACAACATACCCATRGTAAGATGAAGTATCTCTCTCCTCTGTTCATTACTGGTAGAATACTTGAATTAGCTAAAGAATCACTCATTCTCTTGAGGTATCTGAAAATACCTRTGGATTCTGGACATGATACCAAAACTCTCAGCAGTATTACTGGTTCTGAAGATCCAGGGGTAATGGGAAAAAGACAACAAGTAAAATTATTCT